GGAACATATTGAGCATAGTTAGTTTATTCAACGACAGAGAGCTCAACCAAATTTTTTGAAATTGTTAACAGAAAAAAGCAAAATCAGGCTAAAATAATAAGGTGTTAACAATCAGACAAATGTTGTTGTGAAAGTTTAAACAATGGTCGGAGTTCTGTTTGTATCCTTCATCAGAGGCAGCTCTTCTGTGTCTACCTCAGTATTTTCAGTGGTTGAAGAAGTATTCAGATTCTTTATAAAAGTCAAATTAGGCATAGCATACTGTAAAAATACACCCCAACGAATAAAAGTCCAGCATAAAAATGAACTTTCTGTCAATCAGCTTGTTGATTCATCAATTTGAGCTGTTTTTGTATAAATTGATGGCTAGTTGAATTTCAACAAATAAATTGTGTTTTTTTAATGCAAAACCCTTAAATTAAAGTAACTAGAATGTAAAGTTCGAAGGTAAACCTAGGGAGGTCAAAGTACATAATTCTCTTTGTATTTTAGTGGAATATATTAAAATGGCATACAAGAACCTAAGTACAATCCTTGAGTAAATGCACTAAGCTTGAGCCAACCAATGATTATTTAAGTGCAGACTTACACTCACTGGGCATTTTTCATGTATTATTCATCTTTCAGCTGAAAATAATAACGTATTTGTTCTTTCATTCATTCCTTTCTCTATTTACCTCTGACAGAATAGCCAGGATGTTTTTCAGGTCTCGTGGGTATTGTGCCCTGCGGGTGGGGTTGCACTCTGAGCTCATGCCCACCAGATAGCGTGGCAGGACGGTGGAGAAGAAATCGGACTCTTTGATGATGCCAGCCAGGTGCTGCAGAGTGCCTCTCTCCGCTCGGGATTCGAAGGCTTTACTCAGCACCAGGCAGAGGAGTCCAACAAGGTCATTTCTCATTGCTGTCCCACCCAGGAGTTCTCGCAGGACAGGTTTAGAAGACAGGGTGATCGCTACTACAGAGGGATCTTTTTCGGAGAGCTCTTCCAGTGTTTTATAGCCCAGTCCATGACCATGGTGTGCCCCAACTCTACCTGTGGATTTCGATCTCCCTCCATTATGTTCTTGTCGGCCTCTCGCACCATCTCTTCTCTCATCCCTTCTACCATCCACACTATGGCCTTCTCTCCTTACACCAACTTCTGACTCCCACCCTGAAGGTCCTTCTCTTTCAGCGGCATCTAGCTCTCCATTTCTTATCACCCCACTCACTACCTCTGGCCCTTCTCCTTTGTCTCCTCCTCTCCCCCTCCCTCCTACTTTTGGTCTTGCACCCAAATATTTGTTCTCCCATCTCGATGCATGTGTTGCTCCTCTTCCTCTGCCTGCGTCTCCTCTTCCTCTGCCTGCGTCTCCTCTTCCTCTGCCTGCGTCTCCTCTTCCTCTGCCTGCGTCTCCTCTTCCTCTGCCTGCGTCTCCTCTTTCTCTGCCTGCGTCTCCTCTCCCTCTGCCTGCGTCTCCTCTTTCTCTGCCTGCGTCTCCTCTTTCTCTGCCTGCTGCTCTTCCTCTCCAGCGCATCCCTACACCTCCTCCTCCTCCTTCATCATCCGTGTCCTCCCTTACAGGTTGACCACTACCATGGTTTAGCGATCTTCCACGTCTTCTTCTATTTCTGACTCCATGTGCACTTTCGTTTGGGCCAGTATCAGCATCTGGGGGAAGAAAAGTCACTCATATAATGAGACCTTAAAGATGAACACCTAGATTGCTGAATGGGTTTTACCTGATTGCCTATGCTACTGTATATTTACCATTGTTTAGTCCTGTTGTCTCTGTTATTAAGGTCGGTCCTTCCATGGCCTTGCATACGATAGTAGCTGAAATATGTGGGCAACAATTTACAAGTCGTAAGAAATTAGAGACACATTTTAGGATGATCACACATTTTAATAAAGGATGTGTAATTTATGTAAAATCATTTTGAACGAAGTATTCAGGTCTGGTAACATATTCTGTTACATTTGTTTTGCTTAAATTAAGGTACATACGTTAAGTATTAGCTTAAGCTATAACAATAATACTTTATTATTCGCAATTAGTTTATAATTTATTAATTTATGGATTATATTTTGTATCTATGATCCAAATCAGTAACTAAAAGTGTTCAATAAATGTAGCTTGATAAAAGGTCAAATACTTGCATCCAACATATGGTGAAGTCAAAATACATGTAAAACAGAAATTCCCTAATAAAGTACAATAACATCAGCATTGCACTTTGTGTAATTGTGAACTTTGTGTATCAATAAAAACAGCTCCAATGTGCATGTATAAAATAGCACTGAATGATGATTCACTCCTTAAAAGTGCTTAGACTTCACCTTAAGCACTGTGTTCTATTACTGTTCACAATTAGTATCATTATGATTTACAAGGTCATGGGATTGCAATATGTTTATTTGAAAAGAACCCTTTATCATAATAATTTTGAGGGGAATTTGCTTGCTATTGCATTGACCTAACTCAAAGAAAGAGAGTGCCCTCTGCTGGATACAGTAAGGACCTGCACAAAGGTGTGTAAGTTTCTATTTACCAGGAATCAGATGAGAGCTTGTAAAACATAACCTGTATCCTGTCATTGTTCTGATATCGAAAGCAGTTTTAGGATTTCATTAAGATCCCCATTAGCTCATGCACAACACCAGCTACTCTTTCTACAGAAAAAAACATGACAATGGCAACAACTAAATAATATTAAAATACAATACTTTCCAAAAAACATACTACACATGTTATTAATCATATCCACTTTTTAAACATACACACAAACACGTACACATTCATTCATACATACATAGCCTACATACAATTCGTTGACACTAAATGTACATACAAAAGTGAGATTTTACAAAAGTACATGGTGAGGAAATGCCTTTACAAGTTACAACAATAGCAAATGGGCAACGCCTTCAATTTGTTGTATCTAATTTGTTATAGGCCTACCTTCCTTTACATTTTATATATGCTACTGAATGAGACATTTCTGATCATTTTTGCTTCCTTTCACCCCTTGCAGAGAGAAAACACTTACCTAGACTGAAATCCACTTGCCACTGAGCTTTACAAAGGAAGCAGGTCCATTTGCTAGCATCACTGCACCTAGCCTTCTCAGTCAGTCGTCGTCTATCAACTGTGCCTTCCGCTCACTGCTCTATTTATATGCGTTGTCACACTTGTGCTTTCGTTTCATCAGAACTACGCACCTAGAGGTTCGTTTGCATCATGAAACTTAACTCTGCACAGTGCACACACTATGTTAACACGGCAACATGCAATACTGTCCGCTATCTTTTGTATATCAACATCAGTCGACAGTGCCACGTGGGGCAGGATATTTCCCAGAAACATTTCGTCGTTAATTAAACGTGTTATCGAGTGTAGTTCAGGGCCTGACTGTTTCTGTCATTTTGGCGGCCGGTAGAGTATTGTGAGAGCATACTGTAGGTTACCTTGCAGTATGCACCACTGAAACTTGACTTATAGCAGCGTTACTGAACAAATATAATGTGATGCTTAACACCAAATGTAGGGATAGCCTATGTTGGATTATATTATGAATACATAGCCCAATACTCTTAAACAAAAGACACAATTACGGGTGTTAGCCTTATGTTTTATGTAAAAAGTACAAGAACAAAACACTTCATAATACTAGGACCCAAATCCCATCCACCCACTCCTTTCAGGAATTATTGCTTTGATTTCACTTTCTGTGGCATTAAAACCCATATTTTTTTACAGCAGAGCTAAAAAGAAGAAACACATATTCGAGGAGCACTTGAACATAGCATTAATGGCGGCTCAATCAAATTCAACATCAGAATCACCTGTCTGGCTTTAAATGGACACTGGAACAATAAAGAAACATTGGTGCTAAAATTAACCACATATCTAGAGGACTAATCTGCTATACCAACCAACTATTAGTGAGCTTTGTTTATTTGAGTGTTTCTCAAAACCCACCTGAAACTGACATCACCTGTTGAGCACACGTCGAAGGTCAAAGTGTTGGTTCCGTAGACTGTATATATGGTTGGTTCACAAGGACAGTTCCTTGGTACAACCCATAGACTGGTACAACCTCAGGTCAGAAAACAGTGCAATTTATGCCACTGGAATGAAGTCCAGTAGGTCCAATTAGGTATGAGACAAATAAAATACTCAATTAAGGTAAACCATGCAATCAGTCATTGAAAGATAAATCAAAAACGTTCTTATGTGTCTATCAACAAATCAAATGATTTCCTAAGTCCGAATCATTCGTTATAATTGTAGTTATAGTTTTTAATATAATTGTTGATGTGTAATCATTTAATTTTGTAAATTGTTATTATTATTGCTATTATTATTGTTGTTATTATTATTATTATTATACAGAAGGTAGCATCTCCTCCTTTTGTATTGTTGTATTGTATTCATCTGTTCAAACATCATACATTTTACATACAACAGACAAAGTCCAGGGGCAGACATACAAAGCAACAAGACATTATACAGTAAATAAAGAAAAAAGGAAAGACAAATACATGTTGATACTTCAGATTAAATATTTATTTAAATAAATTAGTTTTGATTGCCTTCTTGTTCCTAATGTTTTTAATAGTGCTAATATATTTTTTTCATTCTTGATGCACATTTTCAAAATATGGTTTGGTATGGTACAAAAATATGGTACAAATACAATTAACTGCACAAAAAAGACAAAATCTGCATCCATACCATCATCCCTGAAGTACAAGGTGTTTGTCCTGCAGTTGAACCTTTTGTCCCGTCATTTTCCTAATACAATATTATCATACCACAATATTCTACAATACAAACATTCATAAAATAAATGGCCAATAGTCTCTTCTTGTAGATTACAAAATGTACAGGAATATTCAATATCAAGTCTAAATCGTTGAAGTGTCTTTTTTGCGGGATATATTGTGTGTACAATTTTAAAATAAACCTCCTTAACTTTATTTTTGAGGTAGCATCTCCTCCTCGACACGTCCCATCGTCTTGACGCTACGTCATCATTCAGGCTGAGTAGGGAGGCTAGCTAAAGCTGATGTATCCTATTGGTCGTTTCCGTCAATGTAAACATGCAGCAGTGTCAGCGGTGTAAACTGTATTGCTTAAGCGGCGTTTCCTTATTGTTTACAGCTTTATCTGAAGTCTGAATAATAATGGCAGTGTGGCTGAAAATAGCAGTCTCGGAACCAGGGCACAGTAGTGTTAGCTTGATAACTAGCTAGCACTGAATAGCTTGCTAACTATCTGGTTGTGTTTGTATGAGGCTGGCCTTGCTAATTAGATAGCTAGCTTCCCATTGGTAGCCATGAAGGGCTAAATTCAGGTTAGAGAGGCAAAGATAGAAGGATGGCAAGTCATGTAATCTAACAAGGACTTATCAAGAAGTGAAGAAAAATGAATAAATCCAGAAGGGACGGGGCTTCGTCACCTGCGAATGGAAGACAGGGCAATGGTAAGTCGCTAAGTTAACGTTAGCTTTCTTCATTCAGGGAAACCATATGTTGTGGGAATTCATGTCGAAACTAGACTCTAGATACCTATTAATTTAAAAAAAAACGTGATCACATGTGTCCCATGCTAGAGTTGGTTAAATGTCCCTCTTAACCTTACGTTAGCTGCATGTACAAGTAGCTTTAACGGTTTCAAGATTACAGTGACGTTAAGCAAAGGCTAACTCTCTTTTTTCCGTGTGTCAGACTGGGATACCAGACGGAAAAGGAAAATTGCGGACATCACACAGGCCCTCAGTGTGAGTCCAGTGGATGTTGCTGCTTTAAGAAGGATGGCTATCAGTGAAGGAGGACTGCTGACCGATGAGATCCGCTGTCAAGTCTGGCCTCGGCTTCTCAACGTCCCTCCTCATGTCTTGGAACAAGAGCCAGGTATCATGTTAGCAGCATATCAACAAACAGAGCAATATCGGCTATGCCATCCCAAATACCTTCCCTTTCTCACTATGCATGCAAAATACATCCTAGGTGCAAAGTCTCCTTCATACTGTATGGTAATGCTGATGGTGACATGTCTATTGTTTAAAACGTGTGTCACGATTGATACATTGTCTTTTACTGCAAACCAAATATACCGACGAGTACAAATAAATAACCTGAACCTGAATATGTCTTGTCCAGAAAAGGTAGACCGGGAGGATAACAAGGACTACAACCAGGTGCTGTTGGATGTCCAGCGATCTCTGCGGAGGTTCCCACCTGGTCAGTAGAACACATAGGCTACCTTTTCATAAAAGTGGTTCATAAAGCCCTGCTATTAGTGTATTCCTACAGAAACTGAAATAGATCATCAAACACGATCAGGCTGTTCAACAGTACTGTTCAACAAATCTAACCATTCAAGTGAAGGTGTTACATATACTGTTAATTCCTTTACGATTTGAACCAGACAGAAAAATACATATTTGCTCAGGGGCTTGTTTTCATTTGGAACTTGTTGATAATTAGTGTTACATTTACTTTACACTTAGATTTGCAAAGGCAAGTGGATGGTATGATGATTGGTATAATCATCATACCATCCACTTGCCTTTGCAAATCTAAGTGTACTATCCTTCAGTACAGTTCAATTCCATGTCAAAGCTTTGCAAGTACTTGCCGTTAGTTTGACTTTTACTTGTTCTTATCTTGGCAAAAAGACATAATTCCAAAAGAGGGTGCAGACATTTTTTTTAAACTCAGCGCTACTGGAATTTCTGCTTGTCCATCTCACAAGTATCTCAAACATAGACATATAAATATTTCAACTAATCAAATCAAGATTTATCAATTTAACACTCAGCTTCAAGGATCTCCACCCAAATGCTATTGTTGGTCCAAAAGAAAGCTCTGATTTCAGTACATTTTGACCTGCCAGTGATCTGAGGCCTGTACTACGAAGCCGGATTTTCGCTTAGCGGGCTAGATCTCCATGGTAACTTATGCTGTGCGGCTAACCTGTTCCGGAGCAGGTTAGGTTGCAGGCTAAGAGCTCAACTCAGTGAAAGCACCGCCTGCTGACCAATCAGAGCTCCGTGTGCGGAGTTTAAAGCGATCAAGTCATATTACAGGAGAAAGGAAATACAGTTTAAACTGCCGTTGCAGGAAAGACGGCCGGCAAAAATCACAGACTGTGTGAACGTGAAAATGAATAGAATATCACCTCCCATCTTCAGAGCAATGTGACTATTATAACATTAGCGTTAAGAAAGCTTACTTAAATATCTGCCACAACATAAGTAACCAGATCAAAGTAACATTACGTACAGTCCGCGGCACTGTGAGTGCAGACGTCGATGTGTCCCATTATCATTCATATCACATCACATCGTAATGTATCATATATTTCCTTATCTGAGTCAGCTGAGCCGTATCTGGCCGTGCAACACTCACAGTGTCACATACTGTATGCAGAAGTATTATTTTAAGCAACACATTAAGTTGACGAAACACTCGAGTCAAATGTAATTAAAGTCAGATCCACTCATGTCTTAGGGGCAGTGATATCATAAACCTGTTAATCTACGCATTCAAACACTTTTTCTTTTACCAGCTGTTTAAAGTTTAACTTCTTCATATGTCTAATATTATAGTTCACTTTTCATTGTGGAAGTATGACGCTGCGCTGTCAGTACGCTTCTCCATGTTTGTGATTGGTCGAATGCTCCAGATACCACCCCTTTCATGTGAACATGCTAACTAGATAGGGCACGGCTGGCTTGAGCGATCCACTTGATAACCCGCGTCGTAGGACCGTTTAGCGAGAGCGCGTATGTTTTGGATTAGGCCAACCGGCTAACTCAAACATATCCAGGTTAGGTTGAACCAGCTTCGTAGTACAGGCCCCAGGTGGAAGTCAAAGAGTTCAGACTTTAAACATTGAAGAATCAGTCATTTATAGTTTTGGAGGAAAAAACCTCAGCGTTAAGCCGTTGATATAGTGTACTGTTATTTTCAATAGTGTCCTATAAATATAACAATGTTCCATAATACTTAAAGCACTTGAACCAATTAGGTTTTATTTTTAATTGATGGAAGTTGAGGATTTGTTTGTTTGTTTATTCTTCATGTTTCTGGCAGGTTGGACTAGTAGGTAAAATAATAATTCATCTTGCGATTCATGCTCTTTAGATTGCATTATCTCCTATTTTAAAGCAGGGTAGAATAAAATAAGCACCTTTTCTACATTGGTTAAATACACACCCAGTCAGAGGTTGCGCTAGACTTTTTTGCTGCCCGTCATTTTGACGGGCAGTTGTTCTGAGTTTGTTCTAATCCGTCAAAATGACGGACTGCTTTCAGATTTTTCCATCATTGTTAAAAAAAATCCGTCATAAACGGAATATATTCGGTTAACGCGACCTCTGCACCCAGTATATGTTAGCATTAACAACTTTAACCTATTTTGGATGGCCTTGTACAGGTATGCCAGACGAACAGAGAGAGGGCCTCCAAGAAGAACTAATAGACATCATCCTCGTAGTTCTGAAGCGCAATCCCCAGCTGCACTACTACCAAGGATACCATGACATCGTTGTCACCTTCCTATTGGTCCTTGGAGAGCGCCTTGCAACTGCTCTTGTGGAAAAGCTCTCCACCCATCACCTCAGGTGCATACCAAATACGTCATCTTCAGCATCTTTGTACTCTACTACCTATTTTCTCAGTTTAGCTTTCTCTGTTATGTTTTCTCTTATTCCTCCTTTTACAACAATAGTCCAATTGTGTTCTCTAAAAAGGCTCTTTGTTGTATGCTCTTTTTCCAGGGACTTCATGGATCCTACCATGGACAACACAAAACACATTCTTAACTATTTGATGCCCATCATTGAAAGAGTCAACCCTGAGGTGCATGACTTCATGCAACAGTAAGTCTCTCTGCTGTTTTAGTGATAACAGACCAAAGCAAATTATTCTCTCATAAGAGGTTACTTCGAGGGCATGAAACTTTGCAAAATAAGAAATCGATACCCACTTCATTTCAGAAACAGAATCAAGTTTATTGCCAGGTACATTTACAAGTCATCTGGTGAATTCCTTGTATGTGTAAACGTACCTGGCATTACATTTGATTCTGATACTGTTTGTGCCATATAAACACAAATCACAAGTTACCTCTGTGGGGGAAACTTCTGTAGCAATGGAGAGTCAGGACTCAGAGAGACACGAGGCGAGCTGGAGCTTTGATGTCAAACACTGATGGTTTATTTGGAGTTACGGCCGGAGAGTTGACAAAACAGGTGGTGTGTCACGAGTTAACACAGCGGTTGCCAAACCAATTCTGAAGAACTCTTCTGCAGCTCGAGGTTTTAACTAGTTCGGAGTGTAATAATCAACATTCTTCATCAGTGAGACTAAACATCATGGACCCTGAATCTAACTAGAGCTCTCGTCCATAGAAAAGAATGCGCGCCAGGGAACCTTCGTCCCTGAACAGTAAACTACCTCATGGCGGCTTGTGCTCTGTCATAGACTGGCAACAACAATGCGCCCAAGCTGCCCCCCCTTAAGAGATAGCAGCAATACCCAAGGCCGTAGACCTATGCCGTGGGAAAGGAGACAGTGAGAGGAGAAAATGATGAACTGTGTCGAAGGTTGAATACCTAAACAAATTATTCCATGACAACCTCAGTTATAATCTAGGCAGAATGATAAGAATATGTGAACGTTTCATACCCTACACATCTTTCCCTGTGATTGTGTAATGGGATACATTTATATCTGCTCTACATTTTTCCCACCAGTGTCTGCTGTCCTGATTGAATATATTTAGTTTCAAAAGCTTGTTCATTTAGTTGTCAAGGCAGTTTGTTCTATATTTATCCTGCCATGACAAGTGGGTCACAGTATCTAGGCTGGTAGTTAATGTGAATTGTGCATGCACCTTTGTGACACACCTTTTTAGAGATATCTTCTTCCAAACCACAATGATTCATGTTTAATCTCAAATCATATGGTGGTGATGTAAGAGAAGGAGAAGTATGACGGTGCATTTAACACATACTGATCTTATTATGACAGCTCCAGTTACGTCTGTAAAGACTTAGAAACACAGGTTAAGTGGGGGGCACTTAGAGGGCTAACATGACTGTAGCTTTCTGTGTCCGCCACTTCCAGAAAGCACCATTTTAAAAACAATTATAACACACAATAACACCTTAAAGTTGTATTGCCTGATTGCGTGTTGATCGCTGGCACGTATTGATTGATTCTCAGGGCTGAGGTGGGGACAGTCTTCGCTCTCAGTTGGCTCATCACCTGGTTCGGCCACGTGCTTTCAGACTTCCGCCATGTTGTCCGGTTGTATGACTTCTTCCTGGCCTGCCACCCATTGATGCCCATATACTTTGCTGCTGTGGTGAGTTAAATCCGCCCCTTTACACAAGTATAAGCTCTATAATTTACAGTGCAATACAAGCTAATACAACTATTGGTAAGAACATTCATATGAGCTACATATGTTGTGTGTGAGTCCAAGACCAAAACTTAGACTTTGGGGAGGTTTTCTTTTATCTGCAACTTCGCATTCCTCCCAAGGAGGGTCCTCTGTGACCTTCACACATTAAACACCTTAGGCTCATCTCAATTGAATATTCCACCTCCTCCTTTCCCTCACTCGCGTCTTACGGAGGCGGAGCTAAGACGCAAGGAAGGGACGCGAGTGAGGGAAAGGAGGAGGTGACAGAGGAGTCCTCACGTATTAATTGGGATGTCCTCGTTCACTCCAGCGTCACCATAAACAACGCCCTTTACTTCTGGTGCGTGCAGTTTTATCACCTGTCACTGGACACTCCACATAAATCCCTTCAAGCCTGGGATTTAGTTTCGAAATGATTTCGTCCATCTCTTCCATTCATCTCTTTTATTATATGTATTATTTTCGGTCCTGTATTTGTTTTTCCAGGTATAACATTTCATTTAAGTTATAATAACAATAATAATAATTGATGGATTAATTTCATTATGGTAGTTGAGCTTGTTTCAGATCAACTTTTGTATTGGATGTTGTTATTTAATTTGTCCTAAAGAAGAGAGACACAAATCACTAAAATATGTATTATTTATGCTACCTGTATTTGTATACATCCTAAATGTCTGACGTTCTGTGGGTCTACCACACATGCATCAAAAACCACAAGTTAGAACTGTAGGCTAAGTTATTATTTTATAATCAAAACATTATTATTTGTAAGTTTATTTCACACACTTTAATGTTTTTATAGAGTATGATCTCCTCATTCGTTTAAGAGATTTAATATATTTTACTGAAGCACTTTAAACATTTAATGACTGATCCTCCTAACGGTGAGATCAGCTGCAGTGAGCAGAGGCAGCTGGGGGCGGAGCTCTGATGCGCGAGTAGTGAAAACACTTCCGCGTAGTCTGCTCTCGTGTATCCTCCCTTTCGTCTCCTCTGGAAGCCTCCTCCCTCACCCCTCCTCGACTCCTCCGTGTGCATTTCAGCGATTTGGACGTCCTTCAACATGGCGTGTCTTGATCGATTTCCGGGTCAAGTCCCGGAGGAGGGGGAGGAGTCGAGGAGGGACATTGAGATTAACCTTTTGTGTGTGGAGGCTCTGGGTATCCGGGGAACACAGATAACGGCTTGAGCATGATATAGTTATTGGATCCCAAGAATGGGAACTGGCCATGGCCGGGAAGATATGGACACATTGTATGGTGTGGTTTTAAGACTTTGGGTAACTTATCAATTAAAAAGAATGTATTAATACTTGGTAATTCACATAAGCTATATCATGGCCATCTCTGACATTACATATTTGTAGAATAAATGTAATTATTCAGGTAAAGACAGCTAACCTCATTGTGTTCATTCTTATATTTGTCTGTAAAAATGTACATGTTTTCTTCATCGTGGATAATTGCCTGTTCACTGTGATATTGGTTGCAGATCGTACTGTACAGGGAAGAGGAGGTTTTTGAGTGTGAATGCGATATGGCCATGGTTCATCACCTGCTGTCTCAGATTCCCCAGGATCTGCCATATGAGACCCTCATCAGCCGGGCAGGAGACCTCTTTGTCCAGTTCCCTCCCTCTGAAATGGCCAGAGAGGCCGCCTCGCATGACAGGTACTAAACTCCTTAGGGATTCCAGCTTGCGTTTTCAGATGCTAGCTTTCATTTCTCTGCTACTACATTCACACTTTGAAACATGAATGTTACTATTTATAATAACAATCACTTTCTTCCACTTCTTCACTTGGTTTCTCACTGTTACCTGATTAACGCTTTGATTTGATCTCTCTCTTGCTCCCTCTTTGTGCCGTCTCTTTTCCTCCTAAGCATGGCAGCCTCTACCTTTAAGGACTTTGACCTTGCGTCAACTCAGCAGCGGCCAGACTCTGTTCTCCGGCGCCGGCGCAAACAGAAACAGGCTGCCCTGGAGAGATCAGCTGCGAACGCTGTAGTGACGGTGGCACAACCTTCAGCTGCACGCCGCTTTGTTCGCCTGGCTGTCATGGGTCTGACGGTGGCTTTAGGGGCTGCAGCCCTCGCCGTGGTCAACAGTGCCTTGCAGTGGGCCCCCAAACTGGACTTGTTTCCTTGAGCTGCTCCTCTTTCGCCTCCTATGCTCCAACATACCGGTCCTTGACTGAATCCAGCTGGTGGGTCTGTTCCCAATAAACTTGAATGAATGAAAGCAGGAACAATACAGTCAATAACACTGTCTGGAGTGTCTTACGCTACTGTTATCTGCTAGGATGTGTCTTCACATCCTAGCAGAACTTCTAAGGCTCCATCTGAAGGTCCTTTTTATGACTCCTGAAGATCACGCACCAGTATTACTGCTGGTGTTATCAAATGAAGCATTCATCCTGCTATAATGAAGAGACTCTTTTTCTAAGAACTATTACTGATAGTGTCATTATTAAAGTATATTTATATTTGGTAATAGGATAATCTGCTATTGAGTTATAGTCACAGATATATGCTGAAATATTGTTGGACTCGCTACACTTGAAACTGCTGCCAATTAATAGAGCTGGAGTGAATGTATGAGTGTGTGTGTCTGTGTGTGTGTGTGTGTGTGTGTGTGTGCACTGGACTGAGACCAAATAGAGGATTGATAGAATCCTTATAATGTACTGTTTCTTAATCTATAGCAGTTGTATAAATATAAAATCATGACAAACAGGCACTTTTTAAGTTCACCTTTTTATTATGTTTCAGGCATGTTTGTTCCCTTCAAAGTTGTCCAAATAATAATTTGTACTCAACAAAACATGTCAGCAATACCCATTATCAGTGTTATCAAAGTAGATGTATTGCAGCCTACTTTAGATGCACATTTGAATCTTAAAATGCAGATGATTATGCCCCAAAATGGATTTCCGCTTCACAGTCCATGAAGAAAGAAATCAACCATATAGAAATTGTTATGGTCGAGCTTTCCCATTATTGACTCACTTCATTGTTTGGTTGTATACCGTTATATGCTTGCTTCACTTAGATCTCTCCTTATAGTTCAGCAATACACTCGTTCAAATATTGGCATCAGATCTGGAATAAACAGCAAGTACAATGAGAAAAGTAACAAGTTAACAAGGACTGCATTATTTTTACAAAATCACTTTAGAAGCTTTCTTAGGTGCTTTTCTTACTACAACGTTAAGGGTCAAGTCAGGGGGGAAAAGCACCTCAGCCTTCGAATGAACGCTGTCCAGGTTCCTTTTGTTTTTTAACGTGAATTTAGCTTTAACACATGCCATTTAGTAAGTTGGATTGCTTGAGTGTAGCATTCACATTTCAGAGGCAGTCCAGCTCATTCCAATGCTCCAATCATTTCATCCGATCACATAATGAAGTAATAGGTGGGTTGTTTAGGTTTCAGTAGTGGCACTCAATAGTTAAGAATATCAGAAAAATACATTGCACATTTTTAGTCAGAGCATTTCAATTTAAAATAGAGAATTGGGGCTAGTTATTGACTTGGTTCTAGGTCACCTATATTATATGGCACAACAACCTGTCATCTAAAAGTGTCTAATCTCATTAAAGTAACATGTTGAGGAAAGTTGCATCTGCTTTATTAGGCACTGAATTCCCAAGCATCCCATTCCTGTGTTGTGGTCTACTGCACGTGGGTGCATCAGTGATTCAGCGAGCAGGGGATCTAAAATGAAGGTGACCTGGAACATGTTCCTGAGGTGCCTGAGAGTGTAGTTATTCAGCAGAATTGTAATACACCATGTATCTGCACTCTGGTTTTTATTTACTGTCATTGCACTCATTGATTGATCTGCCTTTTATGTTTATTTTGTTATAATAAATACTAATGTATAGTTGTACAAGAAAATGCTAATAAACTATATTGAAAATGTTCACTTGCTTGGACTCACATGATAACATACATATTGTGACTGGTATTAACATTTGCACTAAAGAGATTACAGCCAAACACCATTATTGAGCCTTTAAATAAGTCACGACAACCGTTAATTGGATTTGTAACCAGACATTACTTTATTTTACATTTTCCTCAAAACCTGTTTTTAATAGTGGCCATTTTGTGACATTTCATACTCGCTAAAGGCTCATCACTACATTGGAATGAGTTACTTAGTCACTTACCTTCTTCAGCTGTGTCTGCACATTTCATTGTTACAATAATGCTAACCACTTTTGTTGGCAGTTTAATGGAGAGACAATCAACACACTCCATGGATACAAGACATTACCAAAATATATTGTATATGTAATAGCCCATTTGGTATTGTACTTATTGAGGGATGAACACTTTCAGTTAAAGTCCTGAAAGCAACACAGCATCATTATGTGTCCAGCTCCCCGTATTTCAAACTGATACTTAATTCAAGTCCTTTCATTCAACGTAAACAACATCCTTCACCACAGTCTAATTAGGCAACTGAAAGAAAATCCTTTTCTTTTACAGAACTGAAAACAAATACACGTTGTCACATATTAAGCAAAAGCAGCAAACACACATTAACATCACAACATTCATTCACATAGGAAGATATAAGTTTGGTATCCAGCAATCGTTCTTTTGTCCTGGATAAGAGTTGATCATGATTAATGAATGATTCATGAATTAATGCTATTGTTAGATGTAACCATAGTTCACACAGGAACAAAACAATGGGATCTTATTATTTATGGAGTTATTAGCTTTTTGGTGACTTCTGTTTATACATTTTAGTATAATCCAATCAGAGTTCTTAATTCAACTAGAGTAAATGCACAATGATTGCTGACTCATCAATATGAATTGTAAAGAAACTAGTAGCCATAGGTCAAAATGTAAATAGCGGATTCATTCATCATGACAAAATATTCTGAATATAGCAGAAGATCCCTTTAAAGCTTATTGTGGAGATATCGTTTGTATAGCTTGTGTCTATGTGGCAAGATGTATTTTAAGAGTGTTTGTGTCTTTCTTTTTGTTAGTCTCCTTCCCTCAGTGGCAGTTTTGGCAGTTGGGATGGCACGGCTGCTGATTGACTCGGCATCCACAGCCCCCAGATATGTCGCCATTTCCCTGTAAAATACAACCAAATAAGAAATCATGTGTATAGCTTAAACACTTTCCTGAAAACTGAACCAATACTGTGAAAAAGAGTTTTGCATGTAAGGGAATTTTATTTTACATTTGGTCCCCAGCGAGCTTGTTTGGTGACCCAGCAGAGTTCTGTCTTGCACATCAAACAGCAGATCCAGTCACAGCCATCTTTCTTCTGGACGATGATGTCACACCGTGGACATTTCATGGCCTCCCCATTCTGTAGAAGGCTCTATATTGAAATACAATAGTGTTATGTAAATATTAAAGCAGTCGCAGGGAGAAATGTGCAAATACAACAAGTACAAAAAGCTACTCAAGATGATTGAAGGTAATTATTCAAATGTACAAAAAACAGCAACATTAAACATCTACATCAGGGCTATTCAATTGGCGGCCCGCGGGCCAAATCCGGCCCCGGGGTGATATTTACTGGCCCTTTGAGTATAATGTTAAAAAGTAATCTACTTTTAAAAAAAAAATGTTGGGCCAGAGTGCCTTTATTCCAGAGAGGGTGTTACATTGAGAGATAGAGGGGAAGACATTGCCTGAAAACTTCGGCAGGCTCGGGTTTCGAACCCAACTACTAGCTACTGTAGTGACAAACTGTCATTTATTGCATCTTTGTGTGAATGATTAGATAATTTCACCTAAATTAAATCAAATGAAATTATGTTGATGGTTAAATTAGCTTCACATGTAGGCCTACTGAGTTCTGAACTTGCCATTTAGATCTATAAAGGCCTTGGGGCTATGTTGTTTGATTTAATAAACACAATATATGCACTCCACTATGCTGTTGTAGTATTTACTGTATCTGAAGCTCTTAATATGATTGCTCATATTTCAAGTCATCTTTTTCCCGGCACCTTGCTTTGGATCATTTTCATCAACCGGCCCCCGTTACAAACTAATTGAATAGCCCTGATCTACATATTACAGGTCAAACTCATAACTCAAAACATAAATAAATACGCTGATCTTAGATTAAACTGTGGCTATAATAACCATATATCAACAGAGCCAAACAAATTACAAAATGGATATTTAAATATAGGTTTAAAGTCCAGATGAGTGCCAGACGTTATACAAAATAACAATACCTCTAATTTGGCAGGAATGGACAATTTGACTTTATATAAGTGCAGACAGTACAACATTCCTATATTCATAATTTATCATAAAATATGTACATTAGTGAAGAATAAATCATTTAGCAGTAAGATGTTTACATTGTTTGGTAACCATTGTTTTAGTTGATCCCTACATGTAAAAAAATCTACATTTGAGGCGTCTTACAACTTTAAAAACATTGACCTACATCTAGCATCTGCTTAGTTTTCATAGCCGCCTCGTCGTTCTCCGCTCGTATACGCAGGTCATCCTGGTAGTCCTTGCAATTCATGCCTTCATGGATGGCCTGCAAACATACACTCACCATCGTTAATGTGCAGTGCTTATACATTACATTACATGTCCTTGTTAGACGCTTTTATCCAAAGCGACTTACATACTCAATACTGTGGACAATCCCCATAGGAGCAATTTGGGGTGAAGTGTCTCAGGGACACAACGACATGCTGACTGCAGTGGGGTTTGAACCTGTGCTCCCCTGATCCCAACACCAACGTACTAGTACACTGCGCCACATCCTAGTTATACTATAACTACAGAGTGAAACACGTGTCAAAGTACTATAGTAAATATCCGACAATTACCCTGCAGAGGATGCAGTTGGTTTCTTTGCAGAGCTCACAGAGGAACTCGTTGACTTCGTCCTCGTAGATGCACCACCCCCGACAGTTGGGAGTCTGACAGTGGAAGCTGTGCTCGGAGCGGCTCTCTGCGATGCTCAGACGCATCTCCAGAAACCGCTGGTGCTCCTCTTCTGTGAGCAGCTGTATAATGTTACAGCGAGAGAAAGACGGAGAGTAAGAGTGTGCATAATGTAAGGCTGTTATCTGCATGGAAAGGAAATATAGAACTTGTTATCTGCCGCCAGTTAGAAGCTCTTGAGATGAAATCATTAGAAGAAGATATGTTTTTCTTTCCTCTTTTAATCAGTCTGACCAATCAGTGCAGACAGACACACAGATTAACATTTCATATTTAAATCAGGTTACATTGTGATAGATAATTGAAATACAATTGAAATATAAATCTGTTCACATCTTTAACAACTAACTGTTTGAATAATTATTATTATTTGATGCATGCTATTATTTCCTGTTTACTTTTGGATGAGACTGATGTTTTAGATTTTTGTTTTATCTCCAGTCTCCCACTCACCGCTTGTATCTCTCTGTCCAGCAGCTTGCTGTCACAGTTCTCAGGACAGGACACCTCCGCATCTCGATTGTTCACTATAGTCCCTTTGAGACACTCCCTAAACAAAGACACACACATACGAAAAATACCAATAAATAAATGCTTTACAGTAAATACACATTTTCGTACATTATTGTCAATGTAATTGTTGTACATTTGGAAAGCAGATACAAATCTTACTTTTACACTGAATATCAAAGCTACACAATAATTAAGAGTGTCAGACCTGCAGAAGACGTGGAGACACTCTCTGAGCACGATGCCCTCTTGTGGCTGCAGGGGAGAGAAGCAGATGGGACACTCTTCCTCTAAGGCGTTGGGGAAAAGGCTTTGGTCATCTGTTGCCAACAAGTTCAGGTAGTTCCTCTCACGTTCCTCCTGCTGAGCCTTCGTCACCAGGAAGAGAGAGAGTCAATCACAATACAGAGATGTACCACACATTGACATGATGACGTGATGCTGGAAAACCACTAGACTCATGAAAACAAACTCAATTCAACTAGTTTTCATCAGCATCGCCATAGTTTATGGTGGTGTTATATTACAACACTACATTTAGCTATGTAGCGTAATTAACTGGTTCTGCTTTTCACATACCATAAAGAATGTTAGTTACAACTTTGTATTATCCTTTCCATACATATAGCTGGTGTGCTCTTAAAACATAAAGAAAATAAGATCACCACACATTCAGTTTCAGTTTGTACTCTCCAACATCAGTTAATTTTTGATGAATCACAAAATTATCTATGCACCCATTTGAAACTAAAATGTGTTAAAAATAAAACAAATGTAAAACATAATGAGATTGGATAGTTCCATAACTGGAATATTGACAACATTGCCAAAGAACAACATTTAAATGTTAAGAAGAAGAGCTAATGCGCTCCAAAGACATTTTCTTATAGCATAAATGTAAAACCTTATTTTGACCATACGGTCAGTGGCCTTTTTTTGTACAATCTAGTGCACAAAATACACCCGTCCTGTCCTGAAGTTTACTTTTGTGACGCCTTTGAGGTGAAGTTTTGTTTGACAAGGTGATAGGGCTATTTAATCAATGATATGTTCCAGCATTGTGGCCATAGCTGATGACAATGTCAAATGAAATGAATTGTATTATAATATTTTGTGTATGTGTATGTAAATAGGAAGGACAACTATGACCTCAATAATATACATTTGAAATTTTGAACAACACAAAGACAACTCCACTGTATGTTATCCAATATCCGACATCAGGGTTGCGTCAAATTTCAAAAACTTTTCAGGAATACATATTTTAAATCTTTTAATGAGCACTGTTACCTGTTCATACTGCAATGTGGCCAACTGTTCCTGTTGAATCCGAAGAACCTCCTGCTGGTCTGGTTTGTAGATGTCAGGCACCTGGTAATCCTCGGGCCGGTCCCCTCCACACGCCTCGCAGCCAGGACGTGTAGGTTTGTTCAACAACGTACACATAGAGCAGGTC